AGGCTCTAGAAGTTAGTATTCGCATACTCACTGCGGCCATTATCTGATCAAATGTGAGCTATAGGGAAGTTCGGATAGTGACTCTGAAGATAGCTTAGTAGTTCTTTGAATGCGCTGGTGTATGATTCAGAGTTCTTTTGAATGAGAAAGTAAGTGAAGGTCTTGCGGGTATAATCATCTATAAAGAGAATAAAGTAGCAAGCTCCAGACTTGAAAGGTGGTAGGAGACCACAACTGTCTGAGTGTAGTAACTCAAAGGATCGTGTTGCACAATCTGCGGTAGTAGAAGGGTTTTCCAAAATCTGAGAGAGAGCTATATCACTGAGATGCCCAAAGCGACAGTGCCAGCAGTTCCAATCCTCATTTTTGTATATCTTGCTAGTACTACTCCCAGTGTGTAGGGTACTATAGCTTATTGGTTTACCGTGTTGAGGCCCTGTGCATAGTGTTCCAATTACCTGATAGAAGCTATTGATTAGGTGTGCGAATATAGACTTTGGAGATTCTCTTCTGCAGGAGATAGGACTAGTAGCCCCTTGAGTTTGTCTGGCTTGTATGTTTGATAGATAGCAAACCCCCTCTTGAAACTGCCATGTGTATCCTAATTGGTCTAGCTGTGAGACTGAGAGCAGAGATACACATAGCTGGAGTACATATAAAGCCTCCAGATTCAATCCTCCAATGGCAACTTCAACAGTGTATTCAGAATAGACAGTAGCTTCATTTCCAAAGCATATTTGACGTGTTTCTAGCAGTGGAAAAAATGTTAAAAATAGTGACCATTCATTGCACATGCTGTCTGATGCTCCCAAGTCGAGGATCTACTTGTCAATATAAAAATCATGTGTATTATTGTTTGTTCTGTTTCTCCCATCTTCTTCATTATAGTTTTCATGTAGGACATTCGGGATTACTGGAGTATAGAGAAGGGTAGAGTGGTCGTATACTGTTTTTGAGTTTAGCACAAGGTCGGCTAGTCAGAAGCCATTTGGGTGACCTATATGAAGGAGTGATTGATTGGATAACATCTCCCCCGAAGGGCTAACTATACTTGGCAGATCTTGAACTGTTAGGTTCAATTGGCTTGTGGTGTTATCTTAGCCTGTTCTATGGATAGCTGGGGTACGCCATGCAAGGAGGGCATTTCTGCCTCTAGCAGCCTGATCTTGACTAAGAGATGTATAGCGACATTTGCGACTCCTGTATCCAACTTTGTCACGGGTAAAGCAAGTACTTGTTGGCTTGGGTCCATTGTTCTTCACATGGCCGACCTGGGAAGCAGCACTAATACAGCTTTCTGAGAGACCACGGGGACACTTTCCAATACGGGTTATGTATTTTCGGCTAGCGGACTGACGGGCTAA